TCACTGTGTTGTATACCTAAAACTAATATAATAATGTATGTCAGCTGTAATTGAAAAGTAAAAAAGTACTTAACATAAAAGAAAACATTTCTATTAAATCTTTCCTCAATTAAATTTCAAATAAGCCCTTATTTTTTAAAGATATATATCTCAAAAATATTTCTGATTTCAAATTACATGTTTTTAAATGGCAACTAGGAATTATCTAGAATGAATTACTCTGATTTCTTTGACTAAAAGTTTTTATTGAATAACTTTGTGCAAATGGAATAATTTAGACGGGAAAGGTACATAATTAAAGTTTGTATTAAATAGAAATGCTTTGAAATAGTTTGGTATAAACTCTGTGTAATAAGGTGGAAGTAATTTTTGAATTCTAATGTGCCTTGTTTTTCCACTTCTGCAGAGTGTATATAAATGTGACTTCCTGAACTTGCAGCTTCAGCAACCACTCCAGCTTGCGCAGGATGCTATAGATGCCTTTTTGAAGCAGCTGAAAAACCCTATTGATTCTCTTCCTGGAGAACTTTTCCATGTGGTGGTTTTCTCGCTCCTTCTTTCTTATTTTCCATCGCCTTACCAGAGATGGATTTGCTGCAAGAAAGCCCATGAACTGTTAATGTTAAATGGTTTATTGCTTATCATCACACCTGATTCCTCCCATCAGAATCGTCATGCTATGATGATGAAAAGCTGGAAGATTGCTATAGAGTCCCTGGGCTTTAAACGTTTCAAGTATTCAAAATTTTCACATATGCATCTGATGGCATTTAGAAAAATATCCCTAAAAACTACAAGTGACTTGGTAAGTAGGAACTACCCTGGGATGTTATATATTCCTCAAGATTTCAACAGTATAGAAGATGAGGACTATTCTAACACTTCCTGCTATGTTCGATCAGATATAGAAGATGAACAACTGGCATATGGTTTTACAGAGCTCCCTGATGCTCCATACGACTCAGATTCTGGAGAAAGTCAAGCCAGCTCCATTCCTTTCTATGAGCTAGAAGATCCCATATTGCTTTTAAGCTAATAGATAAACAGAAAACCTTTCATTCCAGACTCCTAAATTGCCTACACTAATCGGAAATATGACCATGAACTCAGTACTTAAAACCTGGTTTGCAAAGGAGAAATGCAAAGGTTGACAGAGTTTGCTATTTTTTTCTACTTTTGGATTTTAAAATTTATTCTTATATAGAAATCTTAAAGTTTCATGCAGAGTGTGACTCTTGTCATAGCAGAAACCACTATTACATTAGCATTTAGCACTCAGATATCATAGAAAGATACCTTTTTCTTAGTATTATTGTGAAAAGTGAAGCATAATTTGCTATGTATTTTTTCATCTTTTCAATGTTGACTTTAACCATTGCAGTGAGAAACTTTGGGATATGTAGAAAACTGTAGATTGCACTTTGATGGTTAACCAGTTAAATGTATCACAGAAATAGAT